GGTACAGAGGAACTTTGGGTGACTGTCCAGGCAGTGAGATGTCTCTGTCATTTCTAGAGTTTGAGAGTTTGCTTATTTCTTATTTGTTTAGGTAATATTGTATCTTTCTGGACTGTTTGATGGAGTTAAGAATAGTTAGCTATAGTTATAGTTTTTCTTAGTTATGATATAGATTATTGTAATTTTTACTTGATAACTGTTTTGTTATATGTAATTTTTCTATGTTAAGTTAAAGCCTTCTTTTTTTTGTTTAAACAGAAAAAGGGGAAGTGATGTGGGAGTGTCATATCAATCTGTTGATTTCATTGGCTGAGCAATAAAAGAAACTGCTTGGCTGGCCCTGATAGGTTAGAACATAGATGGGAGGAGTAAACAGAATAGAATTCTGGGCAGAAGAGGAAGTGAGGTCAGACTCTGCTCCCGGACAGGATGGAAGGAGGCTAGAATCTTCCCGGTAAGCGCACCTTGGGGTGCTTACACAGATGATTAGAAATGGGCTAGTCCAGGTGTGAGAATTAGCCTGTAAGGGCTAGAGTTCATGGGCCAAGCAGTTCTTAAATGAATACAGTTTGTGTGTTGTTATTTCAGGCATGAGCTAGCCAAGCGGCCGGGGTGTTGGGGACGCAGCCCCGCCGCCGCTCATATTTCAACAATGGCATCTCTGAGGAGCAAGCACTAGGTTGGTAGTCACTACCAAAAGCCTCCCTGCGGTCTTTGCCTTCGTAGAGCTTCGCACTCCTATGGGCTTTCAGGACTTGAACCGCACTTAACAACCTTACCATGTTCTTCACATAATTAAGATATCTGGGTCCAACTGTGGCTTGACTGTCCGTTATTTCTGTTCTCCTTCTTTAAGGCTGTGGGCTTTTTATTTTGTGTGCATGGGTGTTGGGCCACCTGGAATGGGAGCTGTGACCTGACATGTGGGTGGTGGGAATTGAACCCAGGTTCTCTGGGAGAGCAGTTAGTACTCTTAACCACTGAGCCAGCTCCCTCTGGAAGTTCTTGTTGCTTGAGGTGATTTGGTTCCCACAAGATGACTTGTTATCTAGCAGCAATCTCGCCATGGGGAGAACTGCCTAAAAGATGTGCTGCCCCTGAAAGTGTTGAACTTAATTTCCACTTGGTTTCCGAACTAATCTCTTGTCTGCTTGGGTACTTACTGGTAGGCACACTCCCCACTTTCTAATTGGTTGATGTCACAGGAAACCAAAGTGTCCCTCTACACAATGAGATGTTTTCTCTATTTTTGATTCTACAGGTCTTAGTCCACAGCAAGATCACACAGTGGCAATTCTGTGAGCTTGACTCTAACTGTATTGTTGAAAAAATGATTTCCATCTCTCTACATCATGGTTAAGGATCCCTTCCAGGCACAGAAGCAATCCTGTGTCTGCTCTGATCTGAAGGAAAGGTCTGGGGGCCAGAGGTGAGTCTTAGTTGGTAGACTGCTTGCCCCCCATGCAGAGAGCCCTAAGCTTGGTTCCTAGCGCCACATACATCCAGCATAGTACTGTACTCCCAGAACTCAGGAAGTTGAGAAAGAAGCAAGGTCATCTTAGGCTACACAGTGAGTTTGAGGTTAGCCAGAGATACTTGAAAATTTATCCCCAAAATTTAAATAAGTAAGCAAACAAATAACACATGAAGCAACTAACTGCACCTCAGAGAACTCAAACTCTGTATGCATATTCATTACTATCTTCATCATGCATATTCATTAGTATTCACTCTTATGCATATTTGTTATTCTCTTGCTTCATGAATATTCATCGTTCCCTTCGCTCATGCATATTCATCACAGCAGCAGCCTTTCATTAGTTCCAATTTAGAACTCCACTAGGTATTTTGGCAGATTTTTAAATTTTAATGTTTTTTCAACTAGAACAACAAAGAGAAAATTACTGCATGAGACTTTTAAAGACATCTCAGAAAGCCCTTGTGATAACAGGTCTGCAGAGACCAGCAAGCACTCACATGAATTTGAGAAGGGGTGGGATGGGGCTCAGTGGCAGAGCACTTGCCCATGCGTGAGGCTTAGGTTCAAGTCTCACAACTGCAAAAATTAATGAATAAATACAAAATAGGATAGAATGGGTTTGGTTTGGTTTTGTTTTTTTGTTGTTGTTGTTGGTGGTGGTTTTTTTTTTTTTTTTTAACAGAGAAAAACTAGACCCTCTTGTTAAATTTGTAACTCTTTCAAGGATCCTCAGATGAACCCGGCCAGGTATGGTGCCTTTAATCCCAGCACTTGGCAAGCTGAGGCAGGTGGATCTCTGTGAACTTGAGGCCAACCTGGTCTACATGGCGAGTTCCAGGCCAGCCAATGCTACATAGAGAGACCCTGTCTCAACAACAGAAACAGAACCTGGTGAGTATAGCTCTCACTACTCCCTTATCAGAGATGGAGACCGTCACAGGGATCCACATCTGGCCGACCTCCTTTATCAGAGATGGAGACCGTCACAGGGATCCACATCTGGCCGACCTCTCTTATCAGAGATGGAGACGGTCACAGGGATCCACATCTGGCCGACCTCTCTCATCAGAGATGGAGACGGTCACAGGGATCCACATCTGGCCGACCTCTCTCATCAGAGATGGAGACGGTCACAGGGATCCACATCTGGCCGACCTCTCTCATCAGAGATGGAGACGGTCACAGGGATCCACATCTGGCCGACCTCTCTCATCAGAGATGGAGACCGTCACAGGGATCCACATCTGGCCGACCTCTCTCATCAGAGATGGAGACCGTCACAGGGATCCACAGCTGGTCAAAATACAGAGAATTAGTGACCACAGATGTCCGTCCCCCCACCCCACGAGATATATCTACAACAGAACCCTGCACCTGAGGCTCTGGGAACATCACAGAAGATTCTAAGAGCAAGAAGACAAGGATACTTTGAGAGAGTGTCTTTGAGACATGGGCAGCTGCACCCATGAAATCACAACAGCTTTGTCATCTGAACAAGAGGAGCACAGTGAAAACACCAGCTGATATCCTTGTGTGGATTAGGGAAACCCCACAAGACCCCAACCACAGATGAAGAGCTATAGGCAGCCAATAACTGCTGACAGACCGGGAGACAGTTTTCTCCAGGGTTGCGCCACCCTCCCCCCGCCCCCACAGGTTACCCAATCCCAAGTGGCCAGCCTTAGACTCATGCATAGGATCAACACTAAATGAACTCAGATGTATTTATATATACAATTATAACAATAATAAAGAAGGGGGGAGAACGGACCCACAAAGACAGCTGACCCAACCTCGTGGGAGCTCACGGACTTTAGACTGACAGCTGGGAGTCTGCATGGAACCCATCTAGATCTAGGCATGTGGGTGACAGTTGGTCTGTTTGAGGGGCCCCGGCGGTAAGGACCAGGATCTATCTCTGGTGCATGAGCTAGCTTTTTAGAACCCATTCCCTGTGGTGGGATGCCTTGATGAGGGGTGAGGGGCTTGGTCCTGCCTCAACTTGATGTGCCAGGCTTTGTCGACTCCCCATGGGAGGCCTTACCCCTTCTGAGGAGTGGATGGGGGTGACACTTGGGGGAGAAGGAGTGGGAGGAGTGGAGGAATGGAGAAACTGTGGTTGATATATAAAATGAGTAGAAAATAAAGGTTTTTTTTTTTAAAGGATCAGATAACTTTTGCAAGATGATTTTGGGAAACTACGGCAAGAATTTGTAGCCAGTGGCATGCACCTGTGGCCACAGCTGCTTGGCAGTAAAAGAAGGAGGATTCCTTGAGCCTAAGATTGGGAGACCCATCTGGAGAATGCCTCTTATTTGAGAGAGTTTCTACGTTGTCAAATTCTGTATCTGCAGAAAAACAGTAAGAGGACATAGTTATATTTGTGCTCGGTACTGTTTTTTGTTTGTTTGTTTTTGTTTTTGAGACAGGGTCTCACTGGGTAGCCCTGACTGTCCTGAAACTTTCAATGTAGACCAGGCTGGCCTCAAGCTCAGAGATCCGCCTGCCTCTGCCTCCTTGAGTGCTGGATCAAAGGCAAGCGCAACCATGCCCCGCTCTTCTTTTGATCATTTTTATTCTCAGAGATAAAAGCCGCCCAGGTCCCACATACCCCGTAGCTGCTACAGGAGGCTACAAGGCTCAGGGGACAGCTTCTCCCTTGGTGATGGTGGTGGGCGGGGCTAGCCCGCAGTTCACTGGCATAAGGCCAAGGCTTCTAGGTTCAGGAAACTTACTTGCATCTTGACCTCCAAGTCGATGCCCTGCCAGGTCTTGACGAAGTCCTCAAAGGTGATGCCCTGGTATGGCTGGCCCTCCTCCAGCGGCTGGTCTGACGCCCTGGCCGCCTCATTCAAGGCGCGGCACGCAATGGAGTTGGCAACGGAGCGCACCCATACACGCTCCACCTGCGGGTTCGCCGACAGCAGGTCCTCCACCACCCTGCGGTACTCTTGCAGCGTGATGAGCCCGTCGCCGTCCTCGTCGTACAAGTGGAAAAGGAAGCGCATCTTCTCCCGGCGGTACAGCTCCGCCTCCTCCTTGTTTAAGTGGGAGCGCAGCGGCTTGAAGTAGGCGATGATGGTCAGGAAGTCCTCGAAGGTAATCTCCTCCGCCAGGCCGCTGGTCCCCTTGCCCAGGTTCCGATTGTCGAAGAAGGCGCGGACGATCCTGGAGCGGATCGGGTTGAATTCCAGGTCCAGGACGTTGTCAAAGTTCTCGGGCCGAATGGTGGGCTGGTCTCCGCTCAGCAGCCGGAACCTCTGGTGCAGCTGCTTGATCTGGTCCCAGTTGAAGACACTCTGATTCTGGTACCCCTCCTGCATCTGCGTCCACCAGAAATCGCTCCTGCTCTCGCGCTCCCACGCCTCCTGGGACGAATGCGAGACACCCATGGTGTCCCGTGGGCTCCAGACGATCTATCTCAGCTCCCCAGTGAAGAGGACCTGGGTCCCTGGAGGCTCACCTTACTGCCTTTCTGACTTATTAGGTCATCAAGGCATCCTCTGTTGGGGCAGGCCCGTCACAATCCCCGAAGCCTCTTTCCTTCCCAAATTCAGTAAAATGAAGCTAATTGTAACACATATTATATATTCTACCTTTGGTTTTCCTAGGGCCTCTCTGGGAAAGCACAATTTGCCTTACAAAACTAAAGATGCTAGAACAGCCGGTAATTTCCAGAGTTCCGAAGGCAGGGACGGGAGAATATCCTTGAGTTTGAGGCCAACCTGGTCTACACAGCTGAGTTCCAAGTCATTCAAGAGAGGAAGGAAGAAAGGGAGGGAGGGACAGAGAGAGGGAAAGAGGGAGGGAAAGAAGAACAAAGTAGAAATAAAGATGGAGAGAAAGAGTAAAGAGAAAAAAGATGAAGGAGGAATAAATGGAAGAAAAGATGAAAGAAAAGAGAAAGAGAAAGGAAAGAGGATGAAGGGGGAAACATACTAGCAATAGCTAGGCTAGTTAACATGGACAAGAAGTCCTAAACAATTGTGACATTGTTCGTGCTTACATAACCTGTGACCAAACCCCCCCCCCCCCCAAAAAAAACCAACAGATAGAAGTTTGGCTTTTCTAGGGTAGTTATATGTAAGTAATGTGTTAGTAAACCATACATGCCGTGATAATCATGTACTTGGCCAGTAGAAGCTGGGTGCCTACCTTCATGTATAGAAGGATAAGCCTCTCAGAAGTGGAGTTTTAGGAGTTTGTGAAACACGTTGTCTTTGCTGCTCTTCTATTTCTGCGACAAAACATCAAGACCAAAGCAACTTGGGGAGGGAGGTTTGTCTCCGTTGCATTTCCATATCGCGGTCTGCCTGCTTTCTCTCACACGAGGATCCAAGCTAATAATGACAGCCCGTGACTCCCATCTGGGACCCCACCTTTGGGGTATGATGTGGCCATTGATGTCTTGGGATCAGAGAATCTCGTGGGCCTCATGAGACGTGGCTATTACTGCTCCTTGTCAGGACCAGAGGTTCATGCGGTGCCTGAGATTCCAGCGACCCTCTCCCTCCTGCCCCTCCCGCACTGGCAGCTAGAGCAGGCAGGCGGTGAGAGGTTGGCTGGAGAGTGGACTCCGGAACTCGGGATGCAAGGCTTGCGAGTCGTCACCCACGCTCCTGTACGTTAAGTCATGCTCCTGTAACTTCAACAAACTCAAGCTGGGCTCTGTCAGGATCGTTTATCATGAGCTATTGTGGGCCATGATGCAATTACAGCTTGGAGCAATTGATAATTCAGATGTCAACCCACCCGAGGAATTATTTTCCCAATGGGGCAACCCGTCAGCAAGACTTAGGGGTCACTGACTCTGAAAACTGTTAGTTTCACCTGTAATTTCGCATGTGCAATAGCTCTTGACAGCTCCCCATTACCGTGCATTTTAATGTAACATGTACATACAGTCACATGATTCCATCCCAGTCTTAAGGGCACACACATTTGTGATGGTCAGGAAGAAGGCTTCTTCCTACACTCTATAAAACAAGCTCTCATCGTCCAGACTTTGTCCCGTTTTTGGAAAGAAACGTTGATGCCTGCTCTCTATCATTAGCTTTCAGTGACAGAGCAGTTTGGCCAGGTGAGTGTCCCTGTGGACAGATCATACGCAGAACTTTCACAGACCTTACTTATGAAATCGCAGGTGTCTGGCCTTGTTACGTCACAGTCCCTCAAGAGATCAATAGCATCTATGTTCTCTTGTAGCCTTCTCCATCTGGGGCTAACAGAACCGACTCCCCAGGAAGTCACTCTGCACTCTCTCGGTCTTGGCCTGTCTCTGGAGAGTCTGTCCACTTTAGTCCTCTGCCTAGGAAGTGAGATGGTAGGGACTTCAGAGTGCAGTGGCGTTTGTTGGAGGAGATGAAGTCAGGGAGTGGGAGGGGTCAGAGAATGAGAGGGGTAGAGAGAATTACAATTTCAAGGCCATCCTTGGCTACCTAGTATTTTCAAGACCAGTTTGGAGAAGATGAGACTCTGTCACTAAAATAAAAAGTTGTGTGTATGTGTATGTTGTTTCTTTGTTAACCGGGGTGATTTATAAAATTCATTGTGAACAAGTTCCAGCAGGTGGCGGTAAAGCATCTTGTGTCCAGCAAGGCGGAAGCTAGCTCTCTGCTTCTACTCCACAGCCTTTGACAATAGAAAAGGCCTCTTTCATCCTATGTCATCCAAAACAATGTCCTCCTTTCTTCATTCACAAAGAAATGCTTTCTCACCAGACACAGGAAACCCTTCCCCCCAATTCCTAAATACAGTCTAATATGGACTGTATTTGGAATTTCCTTTTTAAAGATTTCTTTTTTTGAGGCAGGATCTCATAGCCCTGGCTGTACTGGAAGTCACTATATTGACCAGGCTGGCCTCAGACTCACAGAGAACCACTAGACTCTGCCTCCCTAGCGCTGGGATTAAAGGTGTGAGCCACCACCATGCTCATCTCTCTTGTTTCTTCCTTATATTAATCTGTTTGTATCTCTGTGTGTGTCACATGTACAGTTCCAGAGATGCCAGAAGAAAGTTTAGGAGCCACTGAAGTTGGAGTTAAAAGATTGTGAGCTACACCAATGGGGGTGCTGGGAACCAAACTCAGGCCCTCTAGACAAGTAGCCAGTGCTCTTAATGGAAGCACCTCTTTGGCTCATGGTGTTTTGTATTGGTTTAAAAAAAAAAAAACGTTATTTGTTGTAGCAAGTCTTCCTCTGTACCACCAGCTCCCAAATAATGACACAAAGACTTATTAATTATGAATGATCAGCCTTATCTTAGGCTTGTCCCACTAGCTCTTATGATTTAAATTAACCCATTTATTCTAATCTGTGTTCTGTCTCATGGCTTGTTACCTCATCTCTCTTTACTGCTCCACATTGGCTGGTAACCCCACCTCCTTCCCAGAGTTCTCTCTCTCTTAGTGTCTCTCTTTCTCTCTCTCTCTCTTCCCAGAAGTCCCACCTATACCTCCTGCCTTGATATTGGCTGAAGGCTTTTTATTACCTCAGCTGCATTTTCACACAGTTAGAATGTCCCACAACAATTTATCATTTTTCTATGTTTATGTGTGTTTTTCTTGCATGGCCTGATGAGCCACTATGTGGGTGCTGGGAATTGAACCCAGCTCCTCTAGAAGAGCAGCTAATGCTCTCAGCCACTGAGCCATCTCTCCAGGTTTTGTTGTCTGGCTTGGTCTCCCGTACCCCAGGGAACTCCTGATCCTCCTGCCTTCACCTCCTGAGTGCCAGGGTCATAGACTTGTACCACCACACCCAGCACTTAGCTAATCGGTCACTGTACCCGACCGGATTTGTAGAATTACAAATTTAAATCCACAGTCTTTTCTTTGGCACGAATCACCATATGTTAACGAACGCACAATTACCATTAAGAATCACAAAGAATGTGAGTGGGCAGAAATTGCAGGGTATCATGTACCTGCCAGTCAGCCGTGATGTGGCTGCAGTTGGTTTTTATTGCTTTGGACATTTCCTCAGCGTAAAAAATAAACGATTACTCTAGCCCCGTGACCCGTTACCTGGGTATTTAAGTTGTTAAAAACCTGAGATAAAATATCAACTCTACTTCACACCTGTCACGATGCCAGTAGGTCAGAGAGCTCATGATCTCAACACTCTGGAGGTAGCTACTATTGGAGGGGTCAGGAGTTCAAGATCAACCTCACCTACATAGGGAGAATGGGACCAGCCTGGGCTACCTTAGATTCTGTCCCCAAGACCCCTTCCTCAATTCCCCCACAAAAAAAAAACCCAAAAGTTGTTAAGGTGAGAAAATTGGAAATTATTGTGGCAAAGGAAAGAGTGAACCTCCAGCATGACATTTTGTTGTTTATCATTTGTCTGGGAGGCTTGTGTGTGTGTCTGTGTGTGTGTGTATGCCTGTGTCTGTGTGTGCTTATGTGTGTCTGTGTCTGTGTGTGTCTATGTGTATGTCTGTGTGTCTGTGTGTGTCTGTGTATGCCTGTGTCTGTGTGTGTCTATGTGTGTGTATGTCTGTGTGTCTGTCTGTGTCTGTGTGTGTGTCCATGTGTGTGTATGTCTCTATGTGTGTATGTCTGTGTCTGTGTATATGTGTGTGTCTGTGTGTGTCTGTATCTGTGCCTGTGTGTGTGTCTGTGTCTGTGTGTATATGTCTGTGTCTGTGTGTCTCTGTGTGTGTCTGTGTGTGTATATGTCTGTGTCTGTGTGTCTCTGTGTGTGTATATGTCTGTGTCTGTGTGTCTCTGTGTGTGTATATGTCTGTGTCTGTGTGTCTCTGTGTGTGTATGTCTGTCTGTGTCTATGTGGTCATCTTTCAAGACTCTGTTCTCAAACCTGACGGTGGTGTCACACACCTTTAATCCCAGCACTTGGGAGGCAGAGGCCAGCCTGGTCTACAGAGCGAGTTTCAGGACAGCCAGGGCAACACAGAGAAATCCTCTCTTGAAAAACCAAACCAAAACAAAGAACTCAGTTCTCTACCATCACGTGGGTCCGGGGATTAAACGCATGGCATTGGAATTGTCAACAGCATCTTTACCCATCAAGCCGCCTCTCTCCAGGTTTGCTGCTTTAGCTGGTGATACCATCTCCCAACAGCACGTGACTTTTGGGGAACACTTAAGATTCAGCCATCACACCGAGCTATGATGTGGACTGAGACGTACCCCAACCCTGCAGTTGGCACTGAGAGCTCCCATTGGGCCTCATGATGTTCTGCAGGCCAGGGCTGTGAACTCAGGGTACACTTGGAATGGGTCCCCTTTATTTGTTTTAGTTTTGAGTGTCGCCCTAACTGGCCTGGAAGACTCTGTAGACCAGGCTAGCCTTGGACTCGCTGAGATCCGCCTTCCCCTGCCTCCCAAGTGCTGGGATTAAAGACATGTACCACATCAGGCTTTGTT